CACACACACACACACACACACACACACACACACACACACACACACATATATATATATATAGTTATCGTGCATTAAGTATGGATTATCCGCTTGCTAGTTGCTAAAAATTGACAGTTCGCACAAGAACTCAGTACTGACCTTGGCGACAAGTTGCTGATCGCTCTGCACGTCCAGGCAACGATAAAGCGCGCTACCCTCAGCCGGACCAAGAAGCAGGAATCGATCTCCTAGCACAGTCGGTCCACCGTGAAGGTCGTGGGGCACTGGTTCGCAACTCGGAAAGACCACCGTCGACACCGCGCTGGCCTCATCGCTGGCCGGCTGTTGCGACTGCTGCTGTTGCTGATGAACGTCCTGACTGTTGCTGTTAGGGCTGACCAAAAATTTGCCATTGTTGGCGCGCGGAACTTGCAGATGCAATGGATGCTGCCTGGCCACTCTCATGTTGCGCCGTCGTGTCTCCGCACACCGAAGTGTTACACGAGTATCGCGTGCGCACACGGTACACCCGGTATATATATATATATGTGTGTGTGTATATATATATATATATATACTCGCACAGCCTCGCTACCGACGGTCCCCCTTTGGTGTCCCTTTGTGCTTCGCGTGGATTCGCAGTATGATTTCACGTTGAACACACTTTGCGTCACTTGTACTTAGCACTGGATATCAGATTGAGTACCGACATCGGATGGTATATGTGTGTTTGTGTATATACGTATATACATAAGGTACGAGACGGTTTCACACGACGGTTTGGCTCCTCTAAGCTCTACGTGTTAACTATAGTTAGAAATATCACTTGTGCTTTCGGGCCCGCGCAGTGTCGTTTCTTCGCAGTGTCGGCTGCGACGGGTCCTTGGACGGAGAGAGATCTTCGTGGGTAACCAATCAGTCAGTCGTTCTCGAGAGCTAATCCTGTAACACGAACGAATGGAACAGGTGATATTTCGCGGCCACATTTCGAAGTTGTGAAGCAACGCCCCTAATCATGCGGCCGTACTCGATAATTTCGGTAACGTCACGGACGGAAATACGGTAAGGCGCGCGTGTTATCGTGTCTCGTCTCAGAAGAAAAATACCTTACGCATATATAAACTGTAGAAAATTATTTCGCTACAGACTGAGAGGAAAAAATGATTAATCTCGATAAAATTGATAATAAAGGAAAAACATGTAAAGAAGTCAAGCAAGTGTCAAGCGCTGACGTTAAAGCGAGTTTAAACAAATTTATCTTCTGATTCCTTGTACAAATATATGACAAACAGATATAGAATTAGATGTTTCAGACTCTATTTTAGGTCATCTTTTCAGTAATAGTTAAATAACTGAAGTAAGTAAACACAAGCAATTAAAAACCCGTAAATGAGCGCAAAAACATGTCCATCAGAATAATCCAGCCGAGATATCAAAAGAAAATACAAAACCCGTTCAGTCAATGTGTCAATCACCTCATTAAATACAATTCAAGTTCATAAAGTTTCTGTTTCTTATTATGCTTATATAAGGAAGATAATTTGGTTTAAACTCGCTCTAACATTAGTATTCGATTCTTACTGGCCTTGTTTAAATATTCATTTTCCTTTATTATTAATTGTACATCATTAGAGTCTTGTTAAATTCGTCCCGTTAAAATTTTGGCGCTATTTATATTCTCTTGTTATTCTAGCAAAGAAAAGTAGCATCAGCAGTATGCATATAAGAAATTATTATCCTTAACACTTATTACAAAATTGGTTTTCACTATAATTTCTTTATGATTCTTATTCTCAACTTTCTTTCATCGATAAAAGAGTTTCTAAATGTGCTTATAAACCAATCGGATACCTTATAAGTCACATTTAGTGGCGCTTTTATCGATAAAAGAAAGTTTATATCAATAACCTTAATCTAAACTCTCTTTTATCGATATATCATTGAACCTTGTATGATTACAATAACATACTTCTCCTTCACAGTGTACTGAAGATTATAATTTCCCTCTATCTTAATTGTAGTTGCAAGTTTTCTAGAATGTTCAGCCTAATCGCGTGAAAACGTCGCAACCTGTGTCGCCACGGGATAAGGAGAAGAAATATTTGATATTCCTTCGTGGTAATCCGCGCAGGTGGCCCTGGCCAAAATAACAGAAGAGGCATGGCGCACTCTTACACCACAATTACGCCCACGTGTTACATACACGCCCGAGCGCGACCCGGCGACGATAGTTCCGTTCGCAAAGTCCATAATATGATTCACGGACAATTTCAAAAGACGGCGTTTCGACACTCCCGCCTCGTGCGCAATTTCAACAGACGAGAAGGGGACATCGTAAGGTCAGGGATATCGCTTGGGGACAGTGACGATGGCAGGTTTCAAGCCGCCCTGAGTCAATTTCCGGTCGTTTGCGTTGCGTTAATTAGCAATCGTCTGTTTATCGTAATTTATTCTACCGGCGATCTTATGTATACGTCCATGTCTTTTTTTCCTTTTCTCTTTCTCCCTCTTGCATACTTAGATTCCCACTGTTGCACTGTTGCAGAAAACAAGATAAAGGCGTGTCGCATTTGTGCGTCGCGTCGGATATTCTCATAATAAATGTAAAGCGAAGTGATGCAAATTTTGCGGAAATTGCGCAGGAAAACCGGTGGACGTAACGTCGGCTAGAATACGGAGGCACACTCCGTATGACACGAGTAAAAGACTCCGTCGCGCGATCGGACAACTGGAAGAGAAAAATCAGGACCGTCCATGACGAAAGCTCACGACAAATAATCCTAGAACATCCAAGCCGCACACAAAATTTCTTGGGATCTAACTGAGATCTAATCCGACTCCCCTAAATAATTATGAGTCCTAATTAGAAGTATAATAATAATTTTAAACACGCAATTCTCTAACAGGGAAAACAGTTTTCCAAATACGTTCATGATAGTTATTTTATATTGAAATCTCTGATAGAAATATATGATGAAACAATTTACTGTACAATATATAAATTAATCAAAAGGCATAATATCAGTAATATCAATTCAGTTTTATAATGTATTGGTTCGGGCCGCGGCATCGAATTCGACTTGAAGTGAGATTCCCAATTAGTGTTGTGTAGCGGGATAACCAATTTGGGGGCAATTTTGAGCATCCTAATTAGAACCTACGCTGCATTTGGGAAAATCTTGAGAAGTTTGCATGTTGGAAGTTGCAAAGCAACGTGGCGCAAGCATCGATCGCGGTTTGCACGGCTTCGCGCGGATGTCTGAGGAGACGGCACTGACGACCGGAGAAGAAGGTAATCTCATCGACGAAGAAAATTACGTGACGGTTTTATGAATGATCGCGCGCGCGCACGGAGAGAACCTTTGTGCGAGTGACGCGTTAGATGAAATTGTTCGCGAAAGGAAAATATTCACAGCGGCGCCACCACCGCCACAATAATGCGAATAATATTCGAGATCGCCTGAAATAGTAGCAACGTCGGCGATTCGCTCGCGCAATGACTCACGCGTGTAATTTTATCGTAAACGCTCGACTCCCGTCCCCCCAATCACCCCCCTGTCCGTCGCTTTCCTTTCCTTATGCCCCGCCACCCCCGATAAATGTCGATGACATGCCGTTGATCCATACTGTTTACAAAACAGTGCGCACCCTCGACTCATCAACAAAATCCACGGTTGTTGGTACACGGGAAGTGATGGTATGAGCGCACTGACGAGAGAGAGAGAGAGAGAGAGAGAAAGGGGGGAGGGGAGAAAATCGAAATGAACTTATAAATAGAGCTGTGCAAGTGAACAACCTACATACGCATACAGGAGACATACGGGTGCGTTCATTCAACTTTTCAACGTTCACGCTATCAATCGCCTGCGCTCGTGCGCAAAAGTGCCGGCGCTGTGTCGCCGTCTCGCGGTAAAAAAACGCGAACGGTGGGTTTCCTGTGCAGGCAAGCGCGCGAGTGAGATGTTCTTTCCTCGTTCTGCCAGGTGTCGTCGATTTATGCGCTACAAAAGTCAATAAAAATAAACGCGACTCGGGCCTGCGACTTCATGCGAGAGAAACAGCGGGTTCTATTTGGTTTTGTACCGCAGAAATAACAGATGAGAAAAGATAAGAGGAAACAAAATCCTATCGCGAATCGAGCAAAAGTAGTATCCCTAAATGTCAAACACGGCGTTTTCACGGACGCGACGTTGTTGACCCGCGATCGGCGCGCGCGCCATACATTCTCATTCGCATAATCGTTCATTACCGATTCAAGATATGCAAATATCACGTGGTCGTCCTTGAGGAAGCTCCTCGAAGCGTACAACCGGCGTGCGTTCGTTTTCATATGTTTCTTGTGTCGCCGCGGGGAAGCGCGCGCGACGTTTTCCTCCGATTCCGCGACGCACCGAATCCGATCATGCGCCATGATGAATTTACCGTCCCCGATCCCGCCGTAATCGGACGAATTGCGTCAGAAACGAGAAACCTCCGTCTTTGCGATGCGTACCGAGATAAATAATTGTCTTGCATGCCACGATTCAGGTTTGATAAGAAATGTTTGCGAAAGGCGCCACCTCTTTCTCGTCATTCGAAATAATTGCAATCGAGAAATTAAATCGCAATAACAGCATTAAGGATCATTTAAGAGAATAACAGAAAAACTAGATTGGGATAGTTACGATCGTTGTTCTTATTATAGTAGGTAGGAGAGGACACACTTTTTCTCAAAGGGTCGCACATGTCGAAGAACAGAAGGAACGGCGAGCTGGCGATGATAATTAACGCCTCGACGATAGCGAGCGACGAGGTCGAATTCGAAGACAGGCATTTTGCCGATTAAATTGCCGGTGACGAAACACCACGGTCGACCTTGGGCGTGCGCAACGAGGAGTCGATCGATGCTCGCTCGATAAAGTATCAAGAGGCAGGAAGCGTAAATCTACGCGAATATCCAATCTTGTCTTTGCACGAGATTCATAATTTTGTTCGAGACGCGGCTCCACAGCAAGTATCTGTCTCTCTCTCAAATATAATTTATTATAGTTTTCTGAAATGTTAACGTAAATTTCATTTACTTCTTAAAAATAGTTGTAAATGATCCAGAATGTATACCCGCTTCCGTGGACTTTTCTTTGACTTTGTTCTATGTTGACTTAATCTTACTTTAAACTACTTTTATTTATTTCTTTGTTATGGAATAGACGCGACCTTTATCATAGATTTTAAGTATATTATCTATCTTATATCTGCAACGTATTATGAACAATATCAGGATAGTCTCTTGATCTCAAGAATGTATGGCTGATGTGATGCATGTACAGTTGTCTCTGAATTTCTTTCATTAATAAGATTATTGTCTAAAGTGTCCTTTTAAAATTGAGTGATTTTATTTTTTGAGCATGATCCTAAATGTGATCAGAGTAGCTTTGTGTACAATATTTACTCAACAGCTTCCTAAATCTTGTGGATTTAAGGCTCTTCGTTTAATTTCATGCTTGTTACGTATAAATTCAAATTTTCTATTGATCAGTTTTGCAAGGTAAAAAGAGGTTTTGTTTCGAAATAGTACATGAATCTAATTCGGAACGTCTTTAATTTCTCCCATAGCTTCAAAGAAGCTATAATTCAGAATTCAGTTATTCCGAATTCAATGCAGATGAATCTAATTTGGAACAAATTTAGTGCTTGAATACGCAAGAATGCAAGAAGATAATAATAATAAGTTTAAGCAGATGACGTCGAAAATAATTATAATTTTAGTGACATTAGTAATTTTTCTTAGTGTGCACGGTTTTAGCTTTCGCAGCAGTACGGCCGCAACTTCATCAGTCGGGTTGATATCGCGTATAATCTCCCTTCGATAATCGAAGTACCATTCGACTCATCCACAAATTGCTTTCGTATCGCATCGTTCGAGAATCACACGCCATTCGCGCAGCAGATGCCGACCGGTGATACTCGCGGCTCCGTTCGTCATTGCGATATCTACGCACTTGCGCAAAACTCGACAACACCAACGCAACCGTGCCTCGGAGCTCCAAAGATCAGGGCTGTGCAATGCGATCTTTTGCGCCCTCCTCCCTCTCTCCCCGCCTGCTTGTCTCCCTCTTCCTCGCGAGACATAGAGGTCGACTTGCTTCGAAATGATCGAATGGCCACGACTAACCTCTATCACCGCGGAGCTTTCCCAAGGTGGAAAGCGACGGTTCTATCTGCGATCACGCGGATGTCTCGATGCACGAGAGGTCAGCGCCGTATCGGCAGGTGAACAGGCCCGTCGAGGTGTCGATTAAAAGGCGCCTGCCAGATATTTCGTGATAACCCAACGACGACGATATTCCGCAACCGCGACCTGACAACGACGATTTTCGGTTAAATTCGGCTATCGCGGATATTCGGAGGAAAAACGAAACGAAACTGATAATCGCGTGTCCTGCTTGCTGATGTCAGAAAAAAGCAGCAGAGAAATAGGTAAAGGATATTGCAAATTATCATCCGCAACGGCATCTATTACGTACAATTGTTTGCACAAATGTTGCAACACTTTTTCTTATAAGTTTATGAACATGCAAATTTGAGGTTATGTCGTATTTTCAGTGGCGCATCAAGCGGGCCATTCATAAACTCACTATTTGTCAAACAGAATTACATCTCTATACATTTATTTAATTATCTAAGTAATAAGTGTCAATTTAAGACAAAGTTGAGATGGATATACAGGTTGATTCAAAACAATCTTTTGTTCTTAAAATGTCATAATCTTGGAGGAATTCTGAGACGGGTTTTTCTTTTGCAAAATGTTATCCCAAATAGAGTTATAAAAATAAATAATTTGCTCATTACGGATTGAGTATAAAAGGTAGGGGCAAGGGCGACTTATCGTCAGACGCGATTACGTAAGGCAGCTAGTGCGAATTTTTAATACGAGGTGTACGAAAATAATTTACTAATAGAAGTATAAATATCATTGTATTGTATAAACTTGTGGCCAGAAAAAGTGTCGCAATCCTTATGTCAACGACATATTGTACGTAAGTAACACTATTTCATCTTCGTTCTATGACTGAACCAAAGAGCGATCTCTTTATGAGTCTGATGAAATCCATGCTCTCTCGAAATAGTTTAAGTTATTTGCAATTTAATCGATCATCTTTGTTTACACGTGCCTTGTGTGCTTTGAACTTTATGTCGTCTGAGGTAACGCAGTCTTAACGTTCTCGCGCTCACGAAGTGCATACAGAGTGTGGAAAATCACGGATCCTGGTGGCGGCGATACACACGACGGGATGACGTAATTCTCAACGTGCGTTAAAGAACTTTCAAATTCATCGCGTCTAAAAAGGGAAAGAAAAGGAACAAAACCCACGACGAACGTCGACAAACGAGTTTTGCGCATAAAACGGGGCGCAATGCACCCGTTGCTTCTTTCATCACATGAAAATTATACCGTATCAAAATGTTTCCCGGCGCATTTCTTTTCTCACCAAATCGATCGATGCCAGAAGAGACGTTAAACTGCCGCACGTTTCCACGACGAGAAACGAGTTTTTGCCGAACGAATCGTCACGAGAGAACCGGGACTCGTGGAGCGGCGACACGGCAGCAGCAGAGTCAAGTCGGTGGTCGGCAACGTAGCCGGCAGGTGCGCTCGAACCCGGAGCATTGTCGAGGTCTCCTCCCCACCTCGCGTCCCGCGCGTTCCCTCAATGAAACGCGTATCTGACGAAATCGTGAGCTCGGAATTAGTAAAGTGTTGCGTTCGCCGCTGCCGCCGTCGCTGTTACCGTCTGTCCGTCGTCGTCGTCGTCGTCGTCGTCGTCGTCGTCATCGCCGTGTGTGTCGAAACACACACGCGATATACCCCCGGATGCATACACGCGCCGTCGACTGTCGCACAGATACCAGATATCCTTCGGTAAGGTCAAAATGGCGGAGTTCCACCGCGTGGTGTCGCGCGCGCGTGCCGCGATATTGCGGCCGCCCGTTTGCATTAATAGCGCGCAACAAATGTGACGCAAACTCACGAAATAAATTGCCTAATACCGTATTGCTCTTTCTCCCTCCCTCTCATTCGTCCTCCGTTTCTCTCGCACGTGTGCTCTATGCTCCACACTTCTCTCTCTCTCTCTCTCTCTCTCTCTCTCTCTCTCTCTCTCTCTCTCTCTCTCTCTCTGTTAGTCTCTCATATAAAAAATGTCCGTTTCAATTACAAAGCGAAACCAAGCGAAACCGAGAACGCTGCGCGACGAGCAACCCTTATCGTTATGTGGCAGCTTGTGATATCGAGTCACCTTACGAAACCGGACGCAATTTCGACGCGCGAGCTCTATTTCCGGTGCCGAAGAGATAAGGGAGAGTAATTACTCAAAAAATATGTTGCTTATCCAGATAGAATTCTATAAATGTCACAGTTAAAATTCATTGCTGTTTCTTATGTTTCCGCTACAAAATTGTCTGCGTACGTAGAATTTACAGCAGCGACATTCCAGCCATGTTTGCAAGTAAATTTAGATTAGTGTCAGGATTACGCATTCGTTTGTCTCTCGTTGCTAGTATTCTCCGTCATATCACATCGCAATATCAATTTTTATAAGTGTGACTGGCCTTGAACTGGATGGATATGCCATATTGCAGTGTTTAGTCACTTTTATCCCTCTTAGCTAATTTTTCGCATCTAAATAATTTCCGCTATTGATCGAAAGACTATTTCCTTTTTAGTGAAAGCAGATGGCACACAGAGAAACGCAAACAGTAAAACTTAAGCAACAAGGAAATTGTCTAACCCCAATCGATTATTCTTGGATCGTAAGAAGAATCATCAGCCATGATTCGTCAATTTGCTTACCGCTAAAGTCTCACTGCTTACGTTTTTCTACCTGTTCTCAGAGCTTTAACGCTCACGGCAGACCGCATTCCCCATTGTCGAGCACCTACAATAAGATTATTTTGGTGCGCCCGCGGCGTCGGGTGTAAACTCGCGGAGGTCACGCTGCACAGTACAAACCGATACTAATAGGCCGAAAAAGAAAAAAGTAACATTTTCAATTTTTATCAAACATGTGTTCTTCTCGTTTTCTAATAAACGAGTGCACGCGAAAATAAAAGTTTTAACGAAATATGCCATTGTTTGAGAGAAATATTCACAATCAAACTATCACATATCCCTCTTAAGCAACTCGAACAAGTAATCCCAATATACAGTGATTGTTGAAAGTTATAGCTGAAGTGATCAATGAAACATCTTTCCTTACGATTAACCAACTAACGATTCTCCGACTGCTCGTATCATTATTAAATCAATCCAGACTATTACTCCCGACTGCTGCCAGCCGAAAGTTTCACCGATGTTGCATCGGTTGCCTCCTATGTTCTCAGTAACCACAATATCATTCAACGTCAGCTTTTGCATATAAGTTTCTCATGATTTCAGCTAGGTTTTTTCAGTTTTTACTCCCGACTGCTGCCGAAGGTTGGCACTACGGAGAGAATATACGTTTCACCGATGTTGCATCGGTTGTCTTCTATGTTTTCAGTAACCACAATATCATTCAACGTCAGTTTTTGCATATAAGTTTCTTATGATTTTAACTAGGTTTATAGCATACAATCATTATAAATAATGTTGTCCTTAAATTTACTGAATACGCTTTCTTATTGTGTAACATCCTCTTTTACTTGAGAATTCCCTGGGATGTTTTCGAAACATTTTGATAACGCAAAGAGATCCGGAAAAGAATTTCAAGCGACCGTACAACCGGTTGCAAAACGGTTTAGACATCTAGATGAATTCCACCAAACTGCCAAAATTGGTAGTCATTACCGACGGGCTTATGTAGTAATTATATTATTAATTATTATTTATATTATTATTTATATTATTATTTATATATGAGCCTGTTGTACGCGGCAATGGCTCTCAACTTTGGCAGTTTGCTAAGCTCCCAACTTCATTGTATCCAAACTGTTTTGCAACTAAGGCCCTTATTCTGAACTCTCTTTTGTTGAGAAGAGTGCGGCCTATAAACCTTCTGACAGGCTTTTAGTAAATCTTTTAGAGAAATTTATCTGTCAAAGAGAATGCAGAATGAGGTTCTAAGAGTATATCGCTCACCAAGACCGTTGCAACAATCCGCGAGACTCGTGGACGCTTCACCGATGACCTTCGTTACCTCCGACGGGCTTTATCAGGAAAGGATTACGATCCAGATCCGCGGAATCATTACGAAAGAGGCACGAAAGAGGCCATGACGCTGCGCGCTCTCGACATCGTCGTCGGCTCTGTCGCGCTTGACACACGCGTCTATTAACGATCGACATCCCGGAGCTAACTATTCTATAAATCTATTGAATATTGAATATTGTATAGTTTCAATATTTTTTACTTCTATGTTAAATGTCATTTTGAGTTTACAATTTTTTAATTGCTATATTCATATTTACAGTCTCAAAAATGCATATATATATATTTAACTTAGAGTAAATATATTCAATATTGTAGGTAAGATATCACATTCGATATCATTTCAGTACTTTCGACAATCATTTTTTATCTGCCATTTTGAATTCAAACTTTTTTTAAAAAATGTGCAGCTCCACGTTATAGAGGATTTCATTACGAGCAATTAAAAAAAGAAAATTTGAAATCGGTTAAGAATTGCGCTGTCAGTAGATTTTTATCCAAAAAGTGAGCCTTTTTGCCCGCTGTGCAACATGGCGATCAATTCATCACTGGACGCTGCGTGTGCAGATCGGCATTGGGCAACCACACACAATCATTGGCATCCCCCTCAGTCATTGGCACTCTAGAAAAACCGGGTCTTTCGTACAACACTACAAGGTTTCTCGCCCACACTTTGTGGTTGTGCTGCGTTCAGTGAACACAACAGTTGCGCGATCAACCTTCTGGAGGTAGATATGATTAGCAGATCTAAACGTGTACATCAGTCATAAATAATTTTTACTCAACGGTTGTACAACCATCCCTACACGGAGAAGACATTGTAGTTTTTTTCTTCTAAATTCTCGTCAATTTTACTATGTTTTTAATAGTCTTTAGGAACAGATTATCAGTAAAGTCTATCTTGCTATGGAACTTAGTAAATTTTGCTAGAAACATAGCAAATATTTTAATAGCACATTTTAGTTCCTAAAATATAAGTAGCTCATATGAAATGAAAGGATAGTGAAGAAAATGTCATTCCTATTCCTCGGTTACAAAAGTATAATAATTTTTACTGTAAGTTCTCTTGGTGTATGATTCCAGAAGAGATCATCACGGCTAAAACTGCGAACAAACGCTGTTGATCGCGAAAAAGGCAAGTATTTCTAAAGTGCCAATGACGAAGTGGTTGCCAATAATCGTGCAGTTCACCCTAATGAGCCAACTTCGATCGACGATTCCTCGGCCTTCCACTCAGCCTTCTAGCTACGCTAGAATAATGGAGCAGTCTAGTTTCATCATAGTTGACGTCAAGCAGCGTTGACTTGCGATATGAATTTCGTCGAGCATCTCTTCCCGTCCATTTTCTTGCCAACGGTAATGCCGACTCTTTTATCAGGTGACACCGAATCTCTCGTTGTCATGTACACACACAAAAACGATCCACGTTTGACTATGCAATATGCCGACATGTGGCGTAAACTACGCTTATCGACAGGCGACAATCGGGGTGCAGTCGTCGAAATCGCGCGGGCTCTTGTGATCGTCGTCACGAGAGTCCGTGGAATTTAATAATAAACCACGATCAGGCTGTCGCAACCGACTTGGACGTATCGACGCCGCGATAATGATCACTGCACTTTGCACTGAAGTCGCGCAATGTGTACACGGACGAAAACGACGTACACAAGCACTCGGCGAGGCTCCGAAGAGCTGCCGCGCTATCGGCATCGCTTCCGCGCCGGAAACGGTGCTGTCGCGCGGTCGATAACGCGTTTCCTACGAAATTCGGCCATGAATCCGATGGACTTCCCAACTGGCTACGCGGCCCATCCATGCTCTCGGGCGTTTTTCGCGAAACCACGGCGAATCCACCGCGACTCCACGGCGTCGTTGATTAATCCTGACATCATACGGCACGACACGACACGACAAGACACGGCACGTCGACGATGAATTACCTTCATGTTATCCTTCGTCGTTATCGCCGTGCGTTCCTGAATCGGTGGGTAGGTGGTGGACGATTGGACGTCCGCGGGCGGCACCGCGATCGAGGTGGGTCGAGTCGCAGGGCTGCGATCGGGCCTCGGGAGTCTTGCTTCTTCTTCTTCTTCTCAGTTCGCTCGTCACTACTTAGTCACGACGCGACGTGTTGTTGTTGTTGTTGTTACTGTTGCTGCTGCTGCTGCTTCGATTTCGACCGGATGTAACTCGATCGAGAGCTTTGCCTCTTCGGGTAGACGAACCAGAGGAGGACGGCGAAGAGAGAGAGAGAGAGAGAGAGCGCGCGCGCACGCAAGAGGAGACTCGAGGTATCCGCACGACGGACGGTCCAACCTTTGGGCCGGCCCACCGCTCAGTAACCACGGCGGCAGCAGGACAAACGAGTACGAACCAACGGCTCCATTGTGCAGCTGACGACTGCGACAGGCTGAACGATTGAACGTGAACGAGACTTCGGACGCAATACTCGTGTGGCGGCGCCACCGTCGCATCAGCAAGGCGCAGACGTAAACTTTTGACTGATCTCGGTTATCCAGTCACGGCAAGGCGCTTTGGGGAACCCCTTTCTTCGTACCGGTATGATTTAACCTCACTCGATATTGCACTGCAAGTGCTATTGAATGTGCTTTTGAATATATTTACTCTAAGTTAAATATATATATGCGTTTTTTGAGATTCCGTAAATACACAGAGAGAACGATTTGGTTGAATAGTCCAAACGAATTTTTCGATTGATCAGACAAAACTTTGTTTGAAGTAACAAAAATATTTATTTGCAGCTTAGTTCCAAAGAAATATTTTTGTTGTGTCAATCAAATAATTCGTTTGGACTATTCCAAATTTATTTGAGTCAATAAATCGTTCTCTCTGTGTATATGCTTAGATTTTTAGTGCCTTGTGAAAAGATTGACGAAGTTTTAAAGCCAATTGAGATACAGTTGACGCAATAGTGTTAGGGACAGTCGAGTTGATTACGTCAGCTTGAGATGTGTTGAAATAGAAAATTAAAAGTCACTTAGTTTATTTTATATTTTCAATATCTTAATATAGCGTATGTTTGTATTTACGCACACAGAATATATTGAGTAGACAAATTGCACACTTTACATAATGTGTCACATATGTAATACTACCCAGACAGCACAATCTACTAAAAGATGCCTTAGCCCTTGTCCACAACCTTACTTTAAGGTGTAAGCCGTAAGAAATTGACCAACCATGGTCGATTTTTAGAAGAATAATCGATTGTAGTTGATCAATCTCTTACGGCTTACGTCTTAAAGCAAGGTTGTGGACAAGGGCTTAAAGACATCCAAAAGATGCTCTTATTCTTTTTGGATATTTTTTGAGCGTCTTTAAGATATCTTTTAGCAGTTTGTGCTATTTGGGTAGTCTCTGGTGAAAGATAAGTGCGTCACTCTGTGTAACTCTGGTATGTGACTGGTGGCGATTAGGTGTTAACGGTATTTTTCTCGGCATCGCATTGATTTTAAAATTCCTTATAATCGGGCGGATGATATTAAAAAAAAGAACAGCTATCCGGTGCACGTATATCGCTAATGTAAACACGCGCACGATTACAGGCGGTTCGAAGTGGCCCACTAATTTCGAGATAGTTAGAAGACAGGCACTCACGACAACAGAACGATAATTGCGTCAGCATCGAGGTAAGATACCTGCGTCTTTTACTGAAAATGTAACGTGACGAATTGCATAAAAAAGAAAACTTAAGAATAAAAAGTTGGTCAGGGCCATTCAAACACAAAAGACGCTACTGCCGCGTCGATATGTATACGTGGACTGTTCGAACAGCGACACGCGGTCATATATCGTATCAAGCTTATCAAGTGTTATACAGGTCGAAGCGTTTGCACATCGATAGCATGGGAGTGCGATTTTGCTTCCTGAGGTAGACCCGGAAATAATCGTGGCGTTCTCGTATGTATGTGACGATCTCTGCAGCGCTGTTTAACGCTGATGAGTGCATCCGACGGGATCGATTGGATTAAATGTTACTTTATATAGCCGCGACTAAAAAGCGCGAGCAGTCCGGAAATCACGATTGAGAATTTCAAGACTCACGCTTGCGATTGGATTTGCGCCAAGATTTCGTCATGAAGCATTAAACTCTACATTATCTTCATATTCCAGTTTCGATTGTTTACATTCACTTGTGATCATTTGCATAAAACGAGCAAGCTGCGGGACGTCCATGACGCGGTGTTTCACTTTGAATACCTCTCCGGAGACTGACTATTGCACGCGTAAAGTGAAAATCTCGAGAAGTTACGCAGACTCAGCGGCGTTCAGTTGATATCCTTCAAAATTCATGTTTAGCAATGTTCGCTTCTCGACGAGAAGCGAGATCCTCAGAGAGTCTCGACCGACTCGGTGCAACACGCCCTTGACCTACCTTAACGTTCCTCGTCGCGCGCGGGTGGCACGCGCTGAACAATTGCGCGCATAAGGGCATGTAACATCACCCACGTATGACCGTGACGGATCTCCTACCTTCGATTATTCAGTTTTTTCTAACGTGAAGCTGCGAAGAGTTATCAGTATTTTTATATAATGTCGATGCCACCAGTAACTGGCGTAAAATAATATTACTACAGTCGTTGAGGAGTTGCAGGATTCTGATTAAAAGCATTAAAAATTATATAAAATTTGTAGAGTTGTAAAATGTAAATTAATAAGAGTACGAATTTTTGTTATGTCCATTTCAATTCTGTGTTCCGCAAAAAAATTATGCTCCAACGACAACACTATGCTGGCCTCAACAGAAGTAAGATGTCCTCTACAGATGAATCTTGGGGTCATTTAAAGTATGACTTCTTTAAGACTTAATTCTGAATTATTTATATTTTTATTTATCTTTAGAATTCTGATGTGTAAATACATTATACCTGTTAGATGTGTAAATATTAGGACCTTAACTTAGTTTCCGCCCAAAAAATACTGAGAAAAAGCATTTATTGTAAAAAATTTATTTAAATTATTTCAATGAAAGTATTTTCCATCACTTTCTACAACTTTTTGCCATCTTTCTGGCAACTGGGCGATACCATCTCGATAAAACGATGTTTGTTTCGAAGCAATCCATTCGTCCACCCATTCTCGC